TACACACCCCGAACAAACAAGAACCTCTGCTCAAATTAGACAGGAATTTACACAATTGCTTAGTTCAAAGGTTCAAGTAGGATATCAACAAAAGGTCACATGGCATGTAATATGGCTATCATTCAAAGAAAAGGCTCAAGCTCAAGGGGGCTAACTAATGGATATGAAGAGGGGTTCGGTTTAAAAGAAAACAAGAAGAAAGGCCACACAAAATAGGTTCATTCCTAAGTACCCTTATCAATCATATGAATCCATATTCATCCCGAATCAAACATAAACGTGTATAACAAGGCAAGTTCTAGAAAGATCAACCAGTTGTAGCATCACACAATCAATAAAAGGAGCATTATAGTCAGTGTATGCTCATTGGCTCAAGCCTCACAACAAATAGGGACAAATAGTGTTAATCCTCGTGCATTCGACTATTAATGATCATTGAAAACAATCAGCCAATTAATATGCAGCACACAAGGACTTCAAAAAAATTTCGCACACACCAAAATTCTTCAAAAATTGGCATCAGAAAAGAAATAAAGCATAATCACAACTGATATTCCAAACGATCTTGACACCATCAGACAAACATCAAATTGACTCTATCCTCAGCAAAACAAACACAACAGACTCATACTGTACTAACAGGACTAACGAGAATAATCTCGACATCAATACAGCAAAAGGCAATCAACAGCAACAATATATATATATATGCAGCCAAAATCCAACCGCCACCCCACACTTAAAAAAAAAAACGTTGCCCTCAACGGCAGGACACCAAACAGGCACAAAGTAAATAAAAACAAGAAGGGATATCGGACTTCCCTCGTCAGGGGTAGCAAGCGAATGCGTGCGTTCGGTGGCAGCAGTGGTAAGGGGGCCAGTGGTCGCCTATCGCCGCCCGTCCAGCAAATCCCGAATAAGATCTCGGAGGTTCTGCTGCTCATTCTCCAAAATCTCGACTCGAGCCCGAGTCGCTGCGTGCTCAACTCGCAACAACTCCAGCTCTTTGCGCAGGTCGGAGTCTGATTGGCCGGGGTTGGACGGGTGTTCGGAGCTCGGCTGCTGCTGCTCGGCTGGGGTTTGCTGTCCTACCGGAGGTCGCTCCGGTTGATCGGGAAAAACGGCGTACTGCATCTTCACGTTGGCAGCGACAGAAAGATCAATGAACGAGGGGTTCGGCAGGGCTAGTCGCTCCGTAGCCGACACCATCCAGTACCGGATGGCTGCCTCTTTCTTCACCACTCCAATCTGCTCGAGCATAAGCAAATCAAAGTGCGCGACACCTCCAATGGTCTGCCTCCCTTGCAAATCGACCCCGAGATGTTCGGCCAAACATGTGACCAGTCCTCCCACCGCGATGGGATCACGGCGCGACTGGACTCGAAACAGCCCATCGATGATAGCAGGTGTCGTCTTCAGTCGTTTCCCTTTAAGCATGCACCAGAGTAATTGTAGCTCAACCTTTTGAACTAAGTGCCGATTCTCGTACCGACCGGTAATGAGATAGACGATCATCCGCTGCAAGTATCGTAGGGCTGGGTTGCGAATCTCCGCACTTTTAGACGACAATCGGGAGTAGTCCCGAGCGTTGGTAATAGCTAACCACGCTTCGTCGTTATCCATCTCAACCTCTTCGAGCGCATCTTCAGGTAGTCCGAAAGCGGTGGCGAAGTCAACGTCTCGCCACGTATATTCGACACCATCCAGACAGAAACCATACAACCCATCCCCGTCCTCCTTTCTCAACGATCGAAAGAATTCGCACGTAAGGTCGGCGTAGACGGGCCAGTCTCCCGTCATCAATTTCCTCCAGCCCATCACATCAACGAGACGATAGACCTCGGTGTGTAGCCCGAGCTCGACCAACAATCCATGGTCAATATACGTGGTGGGCTTCAGCTCTCTGGGAATCGGGAGATCGCCGGGCCTGTGACATCCCGCCCGAGCCCGTTTAGGTGTAGGAGCGTGTGACGGTGGTCCCGAGACCTCCGGTGAGGCTCGGGTTCTCTTGACGGGCGGCCCGGATGCTGTCCGGGGCGATACTCGGGTAGGCTCGGTAGCCGGTGACTCGGTGGCAGCGGTCAGAGGTGGACTCGATTGGGCCGGAGGCTGCCTCGGTTTAACCGAGGGCTGTGTCGGTGCCTTAGTTCCCGATGTGGCGGCACGTGTCTGAGGGCTGCCGGCCGATTGCTTCGTGGATGCGGCCAGTCGTGTAACGGGTGGGGCCGTTCCTACATGAGTTCTCGGCCTGGACGGTTGCTGTGGCTGATTCGGTTGTACTGCGGGCCGTTTCGTTTGAAGCTGGGGCTGTTCGGAGGTGCCAGGTGATGATTGACTGACGATGGTGGCCGGTGTATGTGAAGAAGAAGCCGCCACGCCAGACGACCGCGTCTTCCTCGTAGAGCCCTTGACAGTGAGATCGATGAACTTCGGGGAATCGGGGTTAGTGTACCATCCCATTCGGCGAGTGTGCCGGCGTTGTTCGAGTGGCACGTGTCTGAGCGGGTGCTTCGGAGGCCGCGAAGGCTGCTGGGCTCATGACCTAGGTGGGGCCGGTTTGATTGATTCGGTGGCAGCCGGCAGTGTCGTAGGCCGCGACTTCACCTTGCTCGCAGCCGCAGCGGTGGAGGGTTCAGGTGGAGGGTTTACCGAATTGGAGGCGGAGGGCGGCGGTGGAGCAGCATCCGACGGCGATGCGGCGACAAGTGGCGATTTTGACTGAGAAGATGTTGGCGGCGATTTGGGCGGCTCCGGTGGTGTTGACGCGGGTTTCGAAACGGCGTGCACCGGAACAGGCGGCGATGGATGTGCTGCCGACGGCGAATCGGGGCTTAGCGGCGCGATTGGCGGAGGTGCCGGTAGTGGTTGAACGGTGTCAGGCGGTGGCGGGTTCGCCGATTGCTGGACCGATGGCGAAACAGGTGGCGACTTGGGCGGCGACTCGTCATCTTCCACAGGCAACCTCGATTTGTAGGCTTTCTGTTTAATCCTCACCATTCTTTCTCAAAATTTTTTTTCGGATTTTTCGCTCAATTGTTCGTCAGGTTCCAAATCGCAAGAGAGAGGGATTTTTTTTTTTTCGTTCGATGGTTTGGGACTGTTGGAATTCTTCTGGAAAGACGAAAAAGAAACCGTTCAGACCCTTATTTCCATCGTGAGTCAACGGCAAGTGGGCTGCCTCATTTGGTATTGGGCCCTTTCCTCTTCAAATAATGGGCCGCTCAACCTTTACGTTGCAAAATTCCAACACCTTTCAACTAGCAGTCTTGGCCCACTGAAACTACATCCTCCCAGCAACCTTTACATTAATAGCCTGCACCAATAACACAAAGAAAAATTAACAGGACTAACAACTTCGTCAAGGAAACAGCAGAAATTCTTTTTCTCGTGTATTATTCATTTTATTCAATAAACAGCAAATAAAAATTACCAAAGCTAATAATAATAATAATAATAATAATAATAATATTAATATTAATAATAATAATGGGTTGCCTCCCAATTAGCGCCTTTTTTTTAACGTCGTTGGCTCGACCGAATACCTCCCTTTCAAATTGACTGAGGAGTGTTTAACCGGACTCGCTCCACTTCGTCAATTCCAAGTTCGCCATAATACGGCTTGAGCTTGTGGCCATTCACCTTAAACGTTTTTCCCGTCGTAGGGCTGAAAATCTCTACTGCTCCATGGCCAAAGGCTTTCGCAACGACAAAAGGACCAATCCAACGGGAGCGTAGCTTACCCGGAAATAATTTCAGTCGAGAGTCAAAGAGTAGAACCTTCTCCCCCTCGCTAAAATTCTTCCTCGAAATCTTCAGATCATGAAAGGCCTTCGTCTTTTCCTTGAAAATCACCGAGTTCTCAAAAGCCTCATTTCTTATCTCTTCAAGCTCTTGCAGCTGCAACTTTCTGTGGCCTCCCGCATCATCGTACTCAAAGTTACACTTCTTCACAGCCCACCAAGCCTTGTGCTGTAGCTCGACCGGCAAATGGCAGGGCTTTCCGAACACCAACCGGTATGGAGACATGCCGATAGGAGTCTTGTAGGCCGTTCGGTACGCCCACAACGCATCCTCCAATTTAATGCTCCAATCCTTCCTGTTGGGGTTCACCGTCTTCTCTAGGATAGACTTAACTTCTCGATTCGACACTTCAGCTTGACCACTCGTCTGAGGATGATAAGCGGTCGAAAGCCGGTGAACAACACCATATTTTCTGAGCAACGCCTCCACTGTCTTGTTGCAAAAGTGTGTTCCTCGATCACTGATCATTGCCCGTGGAATCCCGAACCTAGAAAAAATGTTAGATTTAATGAAACCTGCAACAACCTTCGAATCGTTAGTCCGGGTGGCCTTTGCTTCCACCCATTTCGAGACATAGTCCACCGCAAGTAAGATATATTCATTACCAAACGAAGAAGGAAAAGGGCCCATGAAATCAATTCCCCAGACATCGAAAATTTCACAAATAATAATAGGGTTCTGGGGCATTTGATTCCTCTTAGAAATGTTACCTGTTCGTTGGCAATTATCACACGACTTACAAAATTCATGTGCGTCTCGAAAGAGTGTAGGCCAATAAAATCCACTCTCCAATACTTTATGAGCTGTCCTTCTACCACCAAAATGACCTCCACATGCGTGTGAATGGCAGAACGAAAGAATGGAGTGGAACTCGGCTTCCGGAACACAACGCCTAATCACTTGGTCGGCACAATGCTTCCAAAGGTACGGGTCGTCCCACACATAGTACTTAACGTCGCTCCTGAGCTTATCCTTCATGTGGCTCTTCAGACCTGTAGGATACACTTTAGCAACCAGATAATTTACAATATCAGCATACCAGGGTTCGGCAAAATCCGACGTCGCATTTCCTCGATCTTGTTGTCCAGCTGCAGCACAGTCGAGTACGGAGGTACCCTGTACTCCTGGGCAGGTACCCTGTATTACTGGGAACTGCAAATTTTCAATGCACAGCAACTGCTCGTCTGGGAAGCTCTCTCGCAGCTGGAAGTCATCCGAAGCATGTGTTACTCGGCTTAAATGGTCAGCCACAGCATTCTCAGCTCCCTTTTTGTCTTTTATCTCCACGTCGAATTCTTGCAACAAGAGTATCCAACGAATGAGCCTCGGCTTTGCTTCCTTTTTCGCCAAAAGATGACGTAGTGCTGCATGATCAGAGAAAACAACTACTTTAGTTCCCAATATATATGAACGGAATTTTTCAAGAGCAAAAACCACCGCCAACAATTCTTTTTCAGTCGTGGTATAATTTTCTTGGGCGGGATTCAATGTCTTTGACGCATAATAAATCACATGTGGCGCCTTATCCACTCGTTGGCCTAGCACTGCTCCTACAGCATAGTCGCTTGCGTCACACATTATCTCGAACGGGAGATCCCATCTAGGTGGCTGGATAATTGGAGATGTGGTCAGCTTCTCCTTCAGCGAATCAAACGCCTTTTTGCAATCTTCATCCACCCGGAATTCCACATCTTTTTGCAGCAATGAGCACAAAGGGGCAGCTGTCTTCGAGAAATCCTTGATGAATCGGCGATAAAATCCTGCATGGCCAAGAAAAGAACGCACTTCCCGCACACTCGCGGGGTAAGGCAAAGCATTAATAATATCGACCTTAGACTTATCAACTTCAATACCTCGCTTAGAAACAATATGTCCCAAAACAATACCCTGTTCTACCATGAAATGACACTTTTCCCAATTAAGAACAAGATTCGTTTCAATACATCGTTTTAAGATTAAAGCAAGGTTCTCGAGGCCCGAATTAAATGACTCACCATAGACACTAAAATCATCCATAAATACCTCTATTATATTGCCGACGTACTCCGAAAAGATGCTCACCATGCACCTTTGAAACGTGGCAGGCGCATTACACAGTCCGAATGGCATGCGTCTGTAAGCGAATGTCCCGAACGGACACGTAAATGTGGTCTTCTCCTGATCCTCGGGTGCAATGGGAATCTGAAAATAACCTGAATAGCCATCTAGAAAACAATAGTAAGAGTAACCTGCCAATCTCTCCAACATCTGATCAATAAAAGGTAATGGAAAATGATCTTTGCGAGTCATGGCATTTAACTTACGATAGTCGATGCATACCCTCCACCCGGTCTGTACACGAGTGGGAACCAACTCACCTACCTGGTTCTCGACCACAGTCACACCCGACTTCTTTGGAACCACTTGCGTCGGGCTCACCCACCGGCTATCAGAAATCGGATAAATGACTCCAACGTCCAGCAACTTGATAATTTCATTCTTCACCACCTCCATCATAGGAGGATTCAGCCGTCGCTGTGCCTCCCGAGATGGTTTAGCGTCCTCCTCGAGAAGGATACGATGCATGCAAATGGACGGGCTTATCCCACGCAAATCGGCAATGGTCCATCCGATTGCTCGTTTGTAATTCTTCAATACTTCAATAAGGGCTGCCTCCTGATCAGGTTCCAACTTCGATGACACTATCACTGGGAGTGTTCGATCATTCCCCAAATAAGCATACTTCAAGTGGCTCGGTAAGGATTTCAGTTCAAGCTCCGGTGCCTGCAAAGTAGAAGGAAGAATTTTCTTATCAGGCTCAGGTAACCGAATAAAATTTTTATCATGCTTTCCAATATATGGTTTTAGTGTATTCAAGGCTGTTACGGCCTCATCAACAAGCTCCAGCTGGTAACAAAATTCGGTTTGGTTACTATCTCCCTGCAGTCCGAGTATGGGGTCGCCCTGTATTCCTGGGCAAGTACCCCGTACTGCTTGATTTTTGTCCAAACCTTGTGAAATCACCAACTCCAGCTCATCTTCCCTGTAAGTGTCGAGAAACTCTTGTGCCAATGGTTCAATACAGTCAAGTAAATAAACACAATGGTCAGAGTCAGGAAATTTCATGGCATCAAAAATATTAAAACGAATAACATTGCCATCGAACTCCATAGTGAGGGTGCCCTCACGAACGTCGATTTTCGTTTGAGCGGTGTTCAAGAACGGCCGCCCTAACAAAATCGGGGTCGATATAGGAGTCCTGTCATTGATACTCAACACATAAAAGTCAGCGGGAAAAATAAGCTCATTAACTTTAACGAGAACATCTTCAATCACCCCATCCGGAAAAGTAGTACTTCGGTCGGCAAGTTGAATTACCACCCGAGTTTATTTCAGAGGACCCAAATTTAAGGAATCAAAAATAGAGCGAGGCATAACATTAATTGATGCTCCCAAATCGAGCATGGCTCGCTCGATTTCTAAATTCCCTATTGTGCATGGAATCGAAAACATACCTGGGTCGCTTCTCTTTTGAGGTAAATCTTTCTGAAAAATTGCCGAGACATTCTCTCCCATCAGAACCTTCTCATTCCCTTGCAGCCTTCGCTTATTGGTGCATAGGTCCTTCAAAAATTTTGCGTATCGCGGGACTTGCTTGATTGCATCAATGAGAGGAATATTGATCTCGACTTTCTTGAACACATCAAGAACCTGCTTCTCAGCATCTTCCTTTGCTGCCTTTCGTACCCTGGATGGAAACGGTAGAGGTTCGGGTTTCAGTGGAGGAAAAATCGGACTGCCCTTCGGCTTTTCAATCTCTGCAGACTGAGTACAGGGTGTCCCCGTATTCTGCTGCCCGACCCCATATTCTGCTGACAGGCCCTCCTTTTCACTTCCATTCTTCTCGTTTTGAGTCGTTGGGGCTTCTAATTCTTTTCCACTCCGCAAGGTGATGGCACTGACATTTTTAGGGTTCAACTCAGATTGAGATGGAAGTCGGCCCCCGAGTTGTGCATCTAGTCGGCTCATATGCTCCGCCATTTGACTCATTTGGCCTTCTAAGTTTTTGATGCTCACTCCTTGGCTCTTAATATTCAATCCCTGATTCTGGATGTTCATCTCCTGATTTTTTATGCTCTCTTGAACACCCTGCTGAAAGGTCATGGAGCTAGTTGCAAGCGTCTTGATCATCTCTTCTAGGGAAGATTGTGGCATGGAGTTCGGTTGACCATTACCCGCTTGTCGTGGAAAATTTTGACCTCTTTGAAAAATTTGGGGTGGCCGATTATCTTTCTCCGCATACACTCCCCCTGATGGATTTCCATATCGAAGGTTGGGGTGATCTCTCCAACCGGGATTGTAGGTATTGGAGAAAGGGTCATAGTTTCGGCCCGGCCCATTGTTGGAACCTATCGCGTTCGCTTGAGCCTCCACCTCGCCATTGATTAGAGGGCAATTGTCCGTAACGTGATCAGTTGTCTGGCAACGCATGCAAGGTTGCACCCTCGGAAAACCTTCTGTGGCCAATTTTCGGACAAAAGACGTCAGCTCTTTAACTTGAGACTCCAAAGCGCCAATACCAGCCTCATTAACCGACTGAAAAGATGCTTCCCGAGTGCCAAATTGTTGGGAGTTCGCTGCCATATTTGCTATCAAATCCCTTGCGGCCGTTGGTGTCTTGTCCATAAGAGTGCCTCCACTTGCCGCATCGAGCATGTTCCTATCCATGAGGGACAATCCCTCGTAGAAGTACTGAATTAGCAGCTCCTCCGTCATCTGGTGCTGAGGACAACAAGCAATGAGCCTCTTGAATCTCTCCCAATACTCGTATAGCGTTTCTCCATGCAATTGCTTGGCACCACATATCTCCTTACGCAAATTCGCAACTCTCGACGCCGGAAAGTACCGCTGGAGAAAAGCTTTCTCCATATCAGCCCACGTGGTGATGGATCCTGACGGTAAGTAGTATAGCCAATCTTTGGCTCGGTCCTTCAATGAAAATGGAAACGCCCGAAGCTTGATCTGCTCCTCGGTTACTCCGGCGGGTTTCATTCCGGAACAGACGGTGTGGAACTCCTTCAGGTGCATGTGAGGATCCTCGCCTGAGAGGCCGTTGAATGACGGCAATAAGTGTATCAGGCCCGACTTAAGCTCGAAGGTGGCGTCATTCACGGTCGGAAATGTTATGCACAAGGGTTGTTGAAGAAGTCGGGGATTGGCTAGTTGCCTTAACGTTCGTTCTTGCTCTCCCGCCATTGCTTCTTCCTCACTCGAAGAATCAGAATATTCAGCACTGTCGGGCTCGCTGGAAGAACTATGGTAATCGGTAACCACCGGATAGTCTCGCTCTCGGTTTTCTTGCGATTCCTTTGCCAACCTTGCTAGCCTCCGATTCTCCTTATCCTTCCTTGTGATTTCCGGGTTGTATGTCAATGGTTTATGTCCAGAAGACCTCGTGTTCATTCACCTGAAAGACCACTAAAATTATAAGTATCGAATGCAGCAAGATATGTCGAAAGAACCAAGTTTCAAACCTATTCTGCACAGTGAGTATGGGGTCTGATAATTCTGTTGGACAGAATACGGGGAGACCCTGTACTACTGGGAGCAGAAATTAAAAAGAAATAAAAAGAAAGCAAGTAACAGGGGGGGATTCGAACTTCAAACTAAGAAAATAAAAATAAACTAATTATGAAAACTAATCCTATTTTCAATTAATGGAAAAACAATTAACAACTCAATTCCGTTACTCCCCGGCAACGGCGCCAAAATTTGACCGCGCGTCGCGACACGGTCAAAATATAATATTTATTTTCCTTAACCGACTTCTACCAACTAGTAGTAGTAGTGAGCAAGGGTCGAACCCACAGGGAGTGTGGAATTTAATTGTAATTATTCTCTTTAATTGAAATCATGGAAATACTAATAAAAAGGGGGGTTTTGGTATGAATTAATTAACTACTAAAAATATGAATCATATAATGAAACCAAATGCAGCAAACAGAGATGATTATCAAATAAATGGGGAAATATCTAGTCCACGGTTCCGTCTACACCCTCGATTGACTCGTTTAATTAATTTTAGTATCAGATTTCGCTATCTCCTGGAATTACTAGCCCTAGGTAACGACACGGTCTGTTACCCGAATTTTTCCTTATTTTTAATTTAACCGCGAGACGCTCGACGATTAAACCTGACTTTTTGTACAGTCCAGAAAAACGTTTTCAAGATTTAATACAATTAGCCGCTTTACGATTTAGAAAAATAGGCTAGACTAATTAGTGAACTCAACCGCGTTCGTTCACTTAATTAGGCCGTGTTATCCCCGGTAGTTACCATCTTCCGGTTACCTCTTATGAATTAAACACAACAACAATTACGGATTGCAGGCCTAATTCAGATGTAGATATGAAAAGTCTAATCTAGGTGATCAATCTAAACAAGACTAACACATCATGGTTAATTATTCAAAATAACACAAGCAATTCCAAAAAGATATTAAAATCATCAACTAAATAATCAATCAAAACATAGTCAAGTCGTAGGGTTCGATTTCCCCGGAACTAGAATAAAGAAACTACTCGTTCATAGTGTTCAAAGACATAATCAAAGAATTAATTACACAAGAAAGAAGAAAAGAAAAGAGAATAAAATTCTTCTCTAATGTTCGCTTGCACGGTTGCTGTTTTGCTCGCGATCCCTTTTCTCTCTGTTATTCTCCAGCCGCAAGAAAGTGTTCCCAGGTCAAAGAATAATGAATAATGTCCCACGGTCCAAGCATGAAAAAGAATAATCCCCTTTCCTAATCAAAACAAATTGATATATATCCAAATATCTCACGTCTCTATCCTCTAATTAAATCCTGGTCAACATGGTCTTCCCAACTTAGGCCCACTTCAACTCTACAGCTTGCAGCCCAATTGGATAAATTTTCCTGCCATATACGTAAATTGCATGGGCTTCTCCATGTGTATGGGCCCGCTGGGTCAGTACGGGGGTAGCTGGGTCAGTACGGGACGACCCCGTACTCGCTGATAACACCACTCGTCCTTCTTCCGAACATCCACACCACTTCGTGCAACAAAAATAGCTCCAAAAGTACTGAAAATCACTCAAAAATTCATCAAGGCACGAGAGTTGATAATAATATCAAATAAGTCAAAAGATGCACAAATGTAGAGAGTTAAGCGTGCACAAATGCAACATTAGACCATTAATATAAGCACGATTTCCGACGAATCAATGGTGATACTTATCACTTGATTGCAAAGAACTGCAACCATTTTTGCAAGAATGTGTGTTTCAAGCTGACCGGAAAAAGGATCCCGAAATGGGTGAATCGGCTGGCCCAAATGGGTGAGTTTTCTCTTGCATTTTCACTTCAAGGAAGAAACCATTGTTCGTGTTTTTTTTTAAATAACAAATTTTACTCGAAATACCTTGGGTTGTTCGAGTTTGGGAATAGGTATTTTCTGCATTTTTTTTTTTCGAAAAGATGGAACTCACATATGAATAAGATACAGCAATGAATGACAAAGGACTAGATTATTAAATTATGATCTAGGGAAAAAAGAAGTATTTTCTAGCAAATATATCGAATTTTTGAACAAAAAATCAATCCCTAAAAACTTGGAATATATTTTGTTGCTAAACCCATTTTGTGTTTCTATATCTATGTAGGGTCTATGTTCAACTGCGTTCTACCGGATAACATTAAGGTTAATGCCGTGCAACACAACCCAAAAAACCGATCCTATAACGATAGCGAGAAAATGAGGCTAAGAAGGAGTTTCAATTCTCTCTCGTCAATCTCTACAAGGCAAAAGCACCTTTCGACTTCTTCATTGTTGCTACAGTCCCCTTTGAAAGGGTGCCTATGCCCGTGGGAACTAAAGAGATCCGTAAATGGTTCCCTAAAAGCGTGGAAATTGAAAATGGCCAGTTTGGAAAATATTCAGAATGGCCCTCGTCGGTTTTTAGGACTTTATTTTTGTGGTATCAGGCAAAATGAGCCAATTGATATCAGCTCTTTGAGTTAATTATGTGTTGATCATGAACAGTTTTTGTGCCCATCAACCTCCACTAGTATAGATGTGTGTATTCTTATGTTAGTGACAGATAATATATGAATCAACTAGATTTTACCTACATAAATGTATCACCATGTTTGTGATTTGTTTGTTGCTGTATTTCTTGTATATATGGAATTTCTTGTTGGTGCAAGCATCATAAGATAATTTATGTTCTCATGCTNTGCATGTTGTTCGAAAATTCTGCACCAAGTTCTATATGGCTCGTCTCCTCTTATGCATAATGATGAGTAATGACTAATGAGTGAAACAATAATAATGATGATATGTAAAGAGTAAAAACGCAGTCTAATATTGTTTTCGATGTGTCAACAAATATATTACACATTAGTTTGTAATACAGAAAACAAAATTGCTATGCTTCCATAATCTGGTTAAGGCACATTACCTTAATGTTACATGTATTTGTAGTTTTCAGTTCACTCCATCAGACTAGATCCCCGTATCTTCAGTATACCCTTCTCATCAATATCTGCCCTCAGCCTATTCGCCTCGTCCCACTTCCCACTGGAAGCATATACACCGGCAAGCAGGGAATAACGGCCCCCACCCTCAGGCTCCAGCTCGAAACAATTCCTGGCAGCAATCTCCGCAAGCTCCACATCATCATGCAAGCTGCACGCTTTGAGCAATGCACCCCACACCCCAGCATGCGGCTTCATGGGCATGCTCTTGATCACTTCGTGGGCCTCCTCCAACCGTCCGGCCCGGCCCAAAAGATCAACCACGATCGCATAATGATCTGGCGATGGTGAAAGCCCATTTTCCCGCATGGACAAAAAGCATCTGTATCCTTCCTCCACCATGCCCACGTGATTGTAAGCCGTCAATATACCCGTAAATGTAACCGGGTTCGGGACAATACCGACACTCATCATCTCTTCGAAAAGCCCAATCGCCTCCCGGGCCTGACCGTTTAGCCCGCAGCCCAATATAATCGCCGTATAAGCCACTAAATCCTTTTTCCGCAACGCGTTGAAAAGCCCGTAAGCTCTCTCGATTTCCCCACATTTCGCGTAGAGGTCGATGAAAGCAGTAGCTATGTGATTGTCCATTGAAATCCCCAACTCCTTCATATACAACTCGATGGAATTCCCATAATCGAGATCCCCCAGCTGAGAGCATGCCGAGACAGCACTGGCTAGGGTCATCTTATCGGGCTCGAGGCCCACTAAAGGCCCGCGCATCTCTTCAAACAGCTGCAGGGCCTCTTTGGGCCGGTTGTTCTGTGCGTAGCAAGCGATCATGGCATTGTATGAAAGCAGGTCCTTTACGGGAAGTTGCTCGTGGACTTTCTCTGCAGATTCCACATCTCCAAGCTTGGAGTAAGCTGAAATCAATGTTATGCTGCAAACACTGTTCCTCTCTGGCATGGCATCGAAAAAGCTTCGGGCCAGCTCGATGTTTCCACACTCGACATAAGCCGAAATTATCGTGTTCCAAGAGGCTGGGCTCTTCTGTGGCATTATTCGGAAGATTTCGTAAGCTTGGTCCATTTTCTTTGCCCTGGCGTAAGCAGAGACTATGGAGTTCCAGGATATCACGTCTTTGTCCGGAATCTCGTCGAAAACGGCCCTGGCGGCTGAGAGGTCGCCGGATCTGACGTGGCCTGCCAGCAACGAGTTCCAAGAGACGATATTTTTGGTTGTAATTTCGTCGAACACCTTGCGTGCGACACCCATGTCCCCCAATTTGGAGTAGAAATCGACAAGGGCCGTCTGGACGAAGATTGCACTGCACAGCCCGATCTTAAGCGCCTGCCCGTGGATAGTCGGCCCGCCGATTTTGGACGGAATCCGGGCGCAGGCTTTTAGGGCGGAGGAGACGGCGAACGTGGTGGGGGGAAGTCCCCAGCCGAGGGACTGTCTGTAGAGAGAGAGAGCGTCCGCGAAGTGGCCGCGCTGGGAGAGGTGGCGGATCGCGTGGGACGTGGCGGAGGCGTCGGGGGTCGGCATGCGGCGGAGGATCGAGGCGGCGTAGCGGGTGGCTCTTGGGGAATGTGTGGAGGCGGATTTGAGGGTTTGGCGGACGAGCAGCGGCTCGAGGTTGCGGAGGCGGTTGAGTATAATCTGGCAGTGGATTTGCTTGGCCTGGTCGACGGTGAGGGGATTGTCCAGCAAGGTCTTCAGCTTCAAAACTTGCATTTGGGGGAAAAAAAATTGAAGCAAAGGGGATTATAAGTTTATTTATTAGGATCAATAATGGGATTGAAAGGGGTTTCCGTTTGCTTTTCCAAGGTAAAATCAGATATATCAGTGATGATGCTGAAAGTACTCGTTATACCGCCGAACGCCGGCGCAGCTATTCACGTCCAGTCCAGGACTCCAGCCGGCTGACACTCCATACAAAATAGAAAATTGGAAATTAGCCTTCACAAGACTTTAAGTGTTACAAAACTGGTCTTAAAAATTGCAAAAATTGGTCCATTAATTTTTTTATTGCAATTTTGGCCTCGTCAATGGAATGAATCTATGCTTTGTATTTTTTTTGTTTACAACGTCAATTATATTAATAACTTAAAAATTCGAGAGAGTATACCTAAAGTGTCAAATGACACACTAGAACCAAAAGACTGAATCAACCCCTCTTGTCATCACATACAAGGAGGTACAAACTTCAATAAATGAGGCAAAACAACCACAACACAAAAACAAAAACACAAACTCAATAAATGAGAGAAAAGTAGACAAAGCTGCACTAAACAAAACAAAACAACAAAACAAAAACAAAATACAACTCACACCTAATAAACAAATAAAATAAAACCTCCCCTTATCCAAGCAGGTGAGCTAAACGACCACCGAACCAACCCCCGAGGCCCCCCACCACAGCTAAAGGCACAACAAAGCCATAAATCTAAAGCCCGAACCCAAAAAATGTGGACAACCTCCTAGACAGATCCGACAATGAGGCTGTTCTCGCTCCAGATTTGGGTTCTGAAAGACTTCAGCGTCGGCGAATAAAGGAGGAGTCGCCACAAACACACCGGAGGGCTCGAAAACAAGACCAGAGGAAGGACCACCCAAGCCTGCACCCGGACGAGCACAGTAGCCCGACCACACGGCGGACGGGCGGGCTACGGCCTTCTTAGAGAAATTCTAACCATAGTCTGGCATCCACGCCCTTCCAATAGGCATCGCGGTGACAGTGCACAAGTCGGACTCCGGCAGAGCGGCAACCCCTACGGCTGGATCCAAAAGTAGAAGGCGGTGCCCCCTCCGCGGCTGTGGACCGGCGAGACCCGCCGCCGATCGAGTCTCCCGTCAAGTTCTGGGGAGGGCGAAATAGTCGAAACCAGTCGCGCCTCGGTCTGATTTGTAACATGGACTAACTTTGCAATTAGACCGATAGTGCAGAAGCAATTTGCAACTTTCTTCTAAAAAGTTGTAATATGAATAACTTACAATATTCGTATACTACACGGGTACTTGTTAAGAAAATTATTTTTGAAATTAAATAATAACAACAACAATTGTTTAAAATTAAATATATGTATTTATTAGGTTAATTTGAGGTTTTCATGGAAATTAATGAACCGATTGAGAGTTTCCAAAACAAATCAATGTTATATTAGTCAATCAATACCATTACTAAAGTTTCCAATACAACTTAAAAGTTATATTAGTCAGACTATTATAGAATTACCAAGTTAATTTTTCAATATTTTTTGAATTTTCGAACCCAAAATTATTGATTTAGAATATATATATATATCATACTTTCATCTTTGAAGTGTTTAAGTCTTACGTTTTTTTAATAAATTTTAAACATTTTATTATCAGTACAAAAATTGAGTCAAAGAATGCTATCTTTTTTTAGAATATTTTTAAAAAATCAGAATTAAGTTGTAACAAAAAGACGTATGAAAACGTTAGCAGATGTAATCGAAGATAAAAAATGAAAAATCGAGATGTGAAATGGTGCAAAATGCGACTGATTTTCACTAAGAAAATCATGTACAGCATGGACAACCTTGGAAAGAAACTAATTCGCAAGATCCGAGTCCAGTATACAACTTTTATTTCTCCCATCAATATGATTTAAATTTGGATATCAGATGATTTAAATTTGAATATGAGATATTTTATTACGTGAACCATTTTTGTTGTTTGAAATTACTGATGATTATAAATGCATATAAACCATTTTAGTGCATTAACATAAAACATTTAATTTTTATCTCTGTATTCTATGAGATAATGCATATGTAGTCTCACATATCTTGCAACTGTTTGAAATTACTGTTGATTATAAATTATTTTATATCCACCCATAAGGTCCAGGAAAGAACATTTTTTTGTTGATAGCACACACGAGAGTTCCAAAGCAAATGATCAAAAATCATAAGGTGCCAAATTTTTTTTACACGACCCAAAAACAATCACCTCTAATATGTCAAACACCATCTTTTTATTATCATTAGATAATAGCAGTTTGATTATTATTATTATTATTATTATTATTATTATTATTATTATTATTATTATTATTATTATTACAATTGTTTATAAAATTCTAAAGTTGTTTGACTATGCTATTAAAACAATTTACTACTTGTTTTTAAGAAATTTTTTTCATGAGATACAAAAGAAAAAGATAATATTGATCTTAAAATAAATAACTTGAGACAATTGTTTATAATTATGCAATTTATATTTATTGTGAATTATTATTAGTTGGTATTAGCATTAAATATTATATAATATAATAGAAAAATACATGATTACACTCAATAGGATGTATTAATGTGAGAAGTAAAAAACATGAATGATAAATTTTGTAACCGAAAATGGAGAGAAAATTTTAGAGGTTTTATTAAATAAGTTTTCTTAAATGCTATAGTATATATATATATATATAAGTCTCTTATATTTTGACTTCAGTCCGTTTAATACAAGCAGATGTTTGTGACTGACACATTATTAATTAACTGCACACTAGTAAATAACATGCCTCACTCACACATGACACTACAAAAAATAATGAAATTCCAACGGAAATATATTCTAATAGAATTCCAACGACAATTCCAATGAAATTTCAATACTATTATTTCCGTTGGAATTATTTCAACGGAAATTCCAATAAAAATATTCCGTTGGAATGAGTTTTCCACTAGATTTTGACGATTCCAACGATAGATTTTCCAACGGTGGTGGAAATAAAAATTCCAACGAAAAGTGCATATTCCAACGGAAATTCCTACGGTCAAAAGCCGTTGGAATATAGCCGTTGGAATCATGAAATTCCATCTAAAATTCCAATGAAAAATACATTCAAACGGAATATTTTCGTTGGAATTTCCGTTGGAATCATTCCAACGGAAGCTATACCATTGGAATATCCGTTGGAATTTCCATTGGAATATATTACCATAGGATTTTCTGTTAGAATATAACTTTTTTTTGTAGTGTGATGAAGCATAGCTTAGTGTGTAGTATCATTTTTTTGAGATAGGATGTTTGTTTCTGTTGATAACAACTAGTTAGTTGATAATAAATGGAAATATAATATGGGACATCGTGTTGAACATAATATTATATTATTGGTTATTTATAAAATATAATTTTAATTCACAACCTAGCCATAATTCAACAATTTATCGTGAAAGGTTGTAAAGTAAGTTTAGAATTAATTGATCTTGACTTATAAAATATACAGAGCCGGTCCTGAATTTCATAAGGCCCTGTGCTAAATGTGTCAAATGTTCCATTTTTTTTTTTCGGGTATAATATTACTAGCTATATAAAAGTTGTGAAATTGAAAATATATTTATAGCTAAATTTTATATTTAAAAATAACCAATAAAAAGGATGGAGGAAATATTTTTTTTTATTTTTTTTTTTTTCGGTACAAAAGAGGAGGCCAGGAGCCTAGGAAGAGTATGAGGCTAGGACTCGTCGGGGGTAAGACACCCCGATAAGATCATGGTCTAGCCATGCTCCCAATCCTATAGGAGGTGAAGCCATGCGGTGCACCCCAATCGTAGACGAATACGCCAAGCTCGCCATATGGTCGGCCGCACAATTAGCTTCCCGATGAACGTGTTGGATCCTTACGCGCTAGTCCTTTGCAACCAAGCTTCGAATGGCTTGAACCAATGCAATGAGTTCCAAATTTATCGTCGGTCCCAAGGATCATTCGTGCGCATAGACTATCCACCTCGGCGATGACTTGGCGGAATCCCAAGTCCCAAGCCAATTGCAATCCTTGAAAAAGACCCCAAAGCTCGGCGCCCGTGATGGTGGTATACCCAATATTCATGAGGAATCCATCGACTTAACCAAGAAAAAAAAAAACGTTAAAACTCTAAACTTTTTATTTACTTAAATGTATATCTTAAATTTGTTGCAATATATAATATTCAATAAAATTTTATTAACTTTTAATCGGGAAAATGAAAAATTATTAGATTTGATATCTAAGAAAACTAAATAACAATAAATTGAAACTCGTCTTAAAATGAGTTGAAAATCAATTGACTCTTCTAATGACTATTACTAACATTATTTAACAGTGTCTCATGATATAGCATCTCTATATTAAAGCAAGAAGAGAAAATTTAATAAACGAATGAAAAACATAAGAAAAAGTATATAAAAACGTATTAGTTTCACTACTAATAATCAATAAATATTTTATTTCATGAAATTTGTCAAATGAGAAAAAAACAATTAAATACCTATTCTAAAGAATTTTAAAAAAATAGCTATTTAAACTATTTTCTTATATAATTAATATATATCAATAACTAATAATATTGGGCCCTGAGATAAGTGGAGGCCCTGGATAGTTGCCCCTGGGCCGACTCTGAAAATATAAAATGTTGATTTACAACTTAAACATAATTAAACAATTTATCGTGAAAAGTTAGAATACCCTAGTACATTTAAAGTGAATTATGCTAACATATTTAGAATACTAGCATATTAAGATGTATTGAACGAACACGAGTAAATTCACATCAAAATCCCCGACAATCTCCAAAATCTCTAAATTCCACCGATAATATTAAGGGTCTCCCCCAGTGTTGCGCTATATCTGAAGAGGAACGCTAGAGTGGTGTAGAAAAACACTCCAGCCTTGCGCCAGCTTCTTGCGCTAAAATAGATAAGTAAACAATGTTGCGCTAAATGTGACGCAACACTGTAGCAGCGCTACAATTTTTTTTTTTTTTTTT